AAGAGTGGGTGTAAAGGCCTGAGGAGGAAACTGAGAAATGGAGGGGAGGAAAAAAAAAGGTAGGCCCTTGCCAGTCCTGAATCGCTGGTTTGTGCGCTGGCGCTCTTTTCTCTTTCCCACTCCCTCTCCTCTCTCTCTCTCCAGTGCCACACCCTGGGAGGCCTTTGGGATTCACTCTTCGCATATTCCTAAAATCTTCCTCCCTCAGGAAGTTCCCCCAGGCTCTGTTCTTCTCCTACGGTGACCCCTTCGGCCTCAGACCCTCCTCCCCCCTCCACACACACCCACAGCGCCCCCACCCCCTTCACTCATACTTATTCCAAATACAACTACTGGCTGCTTACTAGGCACTGTGTGAATAGCTATCTGAGTCAAGGTCGCTGCCTGCAGCTCACAGCTAGTGGGGGAGACTTCCAGTGGCACTAAGTAGGTTGACGTGAGGGCACAAAGGGAGCGTCTCAACCTCTTCTTCCCCCAAGACCAGTCATGTGGATCTTTTCAGTTCCTCAAACTTGTCCCTTGCTTGTAGGCCTCTCCATCTGTGGCTTCACTTCTCTTCACCCGGCTAACTCCTAATCATTGAGGGCTTCCTGGACGAAGCCCTTCCCCCCATCTCTGGGCTAGATTTAGATGCTCCTCACCCAGCCCCTAAAGTTCTGTGCCTCCCCTACCACGGCATCTACTACCCCGATTATAAGTGCTTGTTTTCACCGATTTCTGAGCTCCAAGTGCACTGAGACCTGAACTCTCGCCCGCCCCTGTGTCCCCAACATCCAGCACAGGGCCAGGCACATAGCAGGTTCAGGGAGTGGAGACCCGCTGGAGAGCCCAGGACCTTCGATCCCCCGACGCTTCTCCGCAAGCCCCGCCCCCTCACCTTCGCATTTGCTGGGCAGTCGGACCCAGTCGGTCTCCTCTGCTCGGGCTTGCCTCGGGCCCAGTTCCGGGGCCGCCAGAAGTAGCAGCAGCAGCAATAGCAAGGGGAGAAGCAGAAGACAGCGGGGCCTGGGCCCGGGCCGGGGCCGGGACGCGGAATCAGGTAACGTTTCCATGGCCCAGCCGGACCCGACCCGAGCGGACCCGGCTGCGCTTCCTCCGGCTGCGCGAGCTAGGTAGCTTCCCGGAGCCGCTTCCGGGACTGCACACGTGCCTCAGCGTAACCAGGGCAACGGGGAGGGCCCCCCACCCCCGCCTGCTCCCGCTTCAGGCCGCCTAGTCCGGCCCCCAGAGCCGACGGACGCCCGCGGACTAGGCAGCCAATGGGCTTTTCGGGGTTTACCTTCTAGCGAAACGGAGAACGATCTTTCTTCGGCCTCGGCCAATGAGAGAGCGGATGGTGCCCTCAGTGACCTATGGCAACATCTTTTCCCATCCCATAACGGAGGCTCTGGGAGGGGCTGGGGGACCAGGGCTAGGGGAGAGGAAGCAGCGCCCTGGTCCTGAAAGGTATGGGAAAGACAGTCTTCACTGCCTTCTCCGCCTCCTTGCACGTCGCTTCTCCCCTGGGGTCATTATGAAGCTAGTACTAACTGAGCACCAGTTTTTAAATTTTATTATTATTGCTGCTGTTGTTATTGTTCTAATTGCCAGTCACTATAGTAGGCGCTGTGGATGAGACCTGGACGATTGAAAGAGTCCCCAGGCTTCAAGCAGCTTTCTTAGGGCCCAGTAACCCTAGATTTGTCCCAGTGAGAACTAGAACAAATCATTTCCTCTCTGAGCCTCAGTTTTTATCTGTATGATGACAAAGTGATCCTCCTAGCTGCTGTTTAGGACTTGCCTGTTCCTGCGACGCTCAAACGGGTTAATAGAATTAAGGCTTATTGAGCAGATTGTAAAAAGTTCATGCAATAATTTTCTTTTTAGTGTGTAATCTGGCTCCCTTTTCTGTCCTATTGTTTATTTCTTTGGATTCTGAGCTCCCACAAGGCAGGGACTTGGCTAATGAATGATTGATTTCCCGTCCACCTCCCCAGCAGCAGGGTGCCTAGCACAAGGAGTTGCTCAGTGAAACCCCCTTGTGCTGTGTCATCAAGAGGAGGACTCTCTGGGTCTTTGGGGCTGCTTCAGGCTGGCCCTGAGCTCAGTGTTCTATGGACACACACAGACCAAGGCTGCTTCTCTGGGAGGTTGTCTGCAAATTCCATTTTTGTCCATAAATCCATGTTTCCCAGTGCCTCTTGTTTCCTTCCTAGAAGCTGGATATTTATGCTATTTTATAAAGACTTTAAAGGACTGATGCTCAGTCCATTGACTTGTCATTTCCTGATCTTAGTTTCTTGTCTTAAAAAATTTATTTATTTAATTATTTATTTTTGGCTGCGTGTGGGCTTTCTCTAGTTGCGGCGAGTGGGGGCTACTCTTTTCTGTGGTGCACAGGCTTCTCATTGCGGTGGCTTCTCTTGTTGCAGAGCACAGGCTCTCGGAGAGCGATCTTCAGGAGTTGTGGCTCGTGGGCTCTAGAGCACAGGCTCAGTAGTTGTGGCACATGGGCTTAGTTGCTTCCAGGCATGTGGGATCTTCCCGGACCAGGGCTCGAACCCGTGTCCCCTGAATTGGCAGGTGGATTCTTAACCACTGTGCCACCAGGGAAGCCCCTGATCTTAGTTTCTTGCTCAAAACAGTTGTGTGGGTGACAAGGCACTTTGGGTAGGCAGGAGCTGTGGTATGTAGAATTCCACAGTGTAGAGGGTCAGGACATTGACCTGAGGTCCTCCATGCTCTCTAGGCTTCAAACGACTTGAGGAGGCTCAAGAGTCTCGCCAGGAACCCTCTTGGGAAATAATAACATTAAGCCAGCCACAGTGGGGATTCAGAGTCTGGGGCAGGGCAGGATTGGGGGAAGTGGGGCAAGATGGGTAGGAGCACTGAAGCTAAGGGAAGCCTGCTTCCAGGATAAACAAAAGGGCCTCTGAGAGGACATTTATGGAGACACAGATTAGTTTGGCAGGAGCCCTGGGCTCAACATCTGGGCCGAGAGCTGGGAAGAGACAGTGGCTGGAGAAATTCTGAGATTATGGCTGGATACACCCCCACCCCCACACAGCCTACCCCTCCCTCATTCTGTGTGTTAGGGAAGGAGCTGGCTCTGTGGGGAGGGTGGACAGGTTGATTCCCCAGAAGTTGTGCCCTGTCCCTCCTTGAAGGATCCAAAAAAGAGCTGGGAGAGTCTCCTTACTGGCTGGTGAGAGATAAACAGTGGAGGAGAGGTGAGGGTTTTCGTGGAAGAGTAGCTAAAAGGGCAAAGGGGCTCTGGCAAGCTGGGAGTCACTGACGCCATGTGTGTGGGGAGAGTTAGAGTACAGTTCCTCACGGCCACGTTGGGGGAAGGAAGACTGAAGTAGGGCCACTGATCCAGGGAACTGTCCTGCACTGCCCCAGGGGACATCTGGATTCACATGAATGCACCCAGAGATTCTTGGGGTGATTACTGGAGAGGAAACTCTGGAAAAGGCAGGGTTTCCTGCAAGAGCTGGACTAACGGAGGACACACCCCATTGTGGGAGCCTCATATTCTATCGGTGCAAGAACCCTCTTTAGGAAACAAAACAAAACGAAACTAAAACCTCTTTAGTGCCTGGCTCAGAGTTGAAGCTCAGTGAATATTTGTCAAATGAATAATGACCCTTAATTGATTAATAATGTATAAGTTTGGAATTACTATCTGTGCTCTTGGCAGTGATTATGATCCTATTACTCTGGAATCCTGGCCCTATTTTTTTTTTTTTTTTTTTGCGGTACGCGGGCCTCTCACTGTTGTGGGCTCTCCTGTTGCGGAGCACAGGCTCCGGAAGCGCAGGCTCAGTGGCCATGGCCCACAGGCCCAGCCGCTCCGCGGCATGTGGGATCTTCCCGGACCGGGGAACGAACCTGTGTTCCCTGCATCGGCAGGTGGACTCTCAACCACTGCGCCACCAGGGAAGCCCCTGGCCCTATTCTTTTCTGTCAAGTCTGTACAAGACTTCACATCAGGCCCAGCGCCCCATCTTCCTGGGTTCCTGGTCTCCTCACCCTGACCTCTCAGAGAGGTCAGGGCGAGGGTGAGGAGACAGAGAGGGGGAGGGGGCCTTGCCCCATGCCTGGTGATGAGGAAAGGAGACAGAGTTGGGACCACATCCACCCCAACCCCCAGCCCCACTCTGCAGTTTCCAGGCTCTCACCCTCAGGAAGCCTTCCCAGATTTCTGCCTCCTGTAAATCTGCCAAATTCCCTCCTCCCAGAGCAGACAGGAGTTAAAATATTTTTCATTTGCTTGTGTCATATAAGTTCTCCTTTAATTGTTCTCAGTTATCAGCACCTCAAATGTCCCAGTGTCTGGGTCAATCACCACCCTCAAGGGGCTTCCAATCTGATGGGAGAGACAAAGCCTTTTCCCTCAGAAAGCCGTCAGTCTGAGGCGGGGAGACGGAGCCTAGCCCCCGGGGAAGCTCGGGTCAGCTGGAGGAGGCAGATCACAGAGAAACGCTCCAAGGCTGGAGGCAGGAATACTGAGGGCGGGTCCCGAGCGCCATGGCCTGAGCACCAGCGGCCCCTCCTCCCAGACAGGGCTCCTGGGATCCCGACCCGGAGGGCGGGTGTGAACCCAGCGGCCGTCCCGGGGCTGCAGCGCCGGCGGGGTGGACAGGCTGAGCCCTCGGCCTGTGGTCCACCCATCATTGCGGCGAATCCAGTCGGTGGGGTCTGCGGACGATCCTCCCGGTGGCGGAGGACGCGGGAGGAGAAGGTGGTCCGCCCGCGGGGCCGCGGGGAGCCCGGGGTCCCCAGGACGAGGCGCCCGGGCCGGGTCCCCCCGCGCGGCGGGCGGGGCGCGGAAGCGGCTGCAGGTCAGAAGCACATCCAGCAGCAGCAGCTTGAAGAGCAGCAGCCGCAGCGCCCCGAGCCGCAGCACCTGGCCCCGGGTCCCTGCGGGAGAAAAGGAGCCGGTGAGCGGCCTAGAGGCTGGCGCTCAGCCCCACGCACGCAAGAAGGTTCACCAGAGGAGAGGGAACCCAGGGGACGTCCTTCCTGGTGTCTAACCTCAGCTGTGACTGGTGATAATAACACACACCTTCCTAGCCTTCATTTAATTTGATTCCCCAGCAACCAAGGGGATGCAAGCCAGGCAGGAATTAGCATTTGGTTGCAGAGGAGAGACACCAGCTCAGATTTCTCTGTTTAGTAGGGAAATAGGACCTGGCTCATGACTGCATCCAGCGGGGGGTGGGGTGGGGGTGGGGGGTGGGACTTTCCTCCGCTCTGTCTTCGGAGGCTCCCTAGACTCCTAAGAGTCTCCCAAGGCTCGGATGCTGAGACCATCCCTCTGAGCTGCCCAAGGAGAGCTTCAAGGACCCTTCTGCTAGCTCTCACCTGTGCTTCTCAACTGGCATCCAGGAATTATGCTGGGGTCAGAGGATCTATCCCCACCTGACCCAGGGGTAGACAGAGGCCCAGGCTAGCCAGTGCCCCAACCCGACAAGGCAGCCTCTTGAGGGGACCCATCAGGCCCAGAGCCCAACAGGGCCTGAGGTCCTGGTTCCTGGTACTCACCCCTGAGAGGCTCCCAGAGGCAGGTCCTGGCTGAGGAAGCCTCTCCTGCGAGTCAAGGAGAAAGGGGTAAGTCATTGGGATGGGCTGTGCCCTCCACCCCAGTGCTATGCCCTGGCCCTGCTCAGGGCAGCTCTTCTTGGAGCACTGGATAAATGGACAAATGAACCTATAGTGGGAATCCTGAGCCCATCTGCAGCAAGTCCTCTGAGGGGCCCAGATCTCCCTCTCTCCTGGCTGTCCTCCTGCCCCTAGAGATGCCTCAGCACTTTTAGACAAGGAATCAATTTTCTTAGCAGCCTTCAACAAACATTCCTATTTGGAGGTTGAGAAAACAAACATAATTCAAAAAGAGAAAGTAAGTCATCTGGTCAATAATAATAATAGCTGGCTTTGGACATGTTACTTAACCTTTCTGTGCCTATAAAATGAGAATAATATGACCTACTTCATAAGTGTAAAGTGTTTACAACAGTGCCTGGCACAGAATAAACAATAAGTAAGTGATAGCAACTTAATATTTAATTATTGTTTGATTCTAATAGGGTGTCATATTTAGGGTGATATAGATATAGATATTAACCCTGGGTATACATAGAAAGATATTAACCTAGGAGGGAGGAGACATTATTACCTCTTGGAAGTCATGCATCAGAGCCTGGATTTGAATGAGATATCACTGTTTCAAATCCCAGAACTCAGGGCCCTGAAGCCACCCTCCTTTGACCCCAGACATCACATCACCTAGATGGTTGGCACTTAGATGCCCTTCATGCCCCCATGGCCTGGATTCTGCCCTCCCTGCCACCATATCCTGGTTTCAGGGTGTGTGAAAGGGGCAGGGAGCAACCACAGGGGCCCAGGCTCTGTCCCCACCTGACAGCTGTAGAGGCTGTGTGCTCTGGCTGTGGTCCCCAGTCCCAGGTCCAGTGTGGCAGACCAAGGTCTCCCAGGCTGCCAGGTCCTCAGAGGGCAGGGAAAGCTGAGCCAAGCTAGTCCAGGTGCCATCAGCTTCTGGGGAAGGGCCGTAGGTGAAGGCATCCAGTGAGCTGCCATTCCCAGCTGAGAACCAGATGGGACTCTCAAGGCCAGGGGGTGCAACGTCGAGGACCAGGCAAACCACCAGAGTCTGCTGCTTCCCATCCACCAGCAGTGTGATTGGTGGGGCCAGAGAGGGGAAGGGTGTGCTGCCCACACCTGCAAGAGAGCACACACTTGTAGAGGGCTAGGTCTGTCCTTGCCCTCCCAGGTCAGGATCTCATATCCTTCCCTCTGGATTTCCCTCCTTCCATCTATCCTTCCACCAACCATCAATCTATCCTTATACCCACTCATCCATCCCTCTCTCCTTGCATTTACCTATCTAACCACCTTCCTTCCCTCTATCCTTTCATTCTCCCATCTATTCATCCACCCTTTCTTTTTTTAAAAAATTTATTTATTTATTTATTTTTGTCTGCGTTGGGTCTTCATTGCTATGCACGGGCTTTCTCTAGTTGCGGCGAGCAGGGGCTACTCTTCGTTGCGGTGTGCGGGCTTCTCATTGCAGTGGCTTCTCTTTGTTGTGGAGTACAGGCTCTAGGCATGCGGGCTGCAGTAGTTGTGGCACGCGGGCTCAGTAGTTGTGGCTCGCGGGCTCTAGAGCACACGATCAGTAGCTGTGGCACACGGACTTAGTAGTTCCGCGGCATGTGGGATCTTCCCAGACCAGGGCTCGAACCCGTGTCCCCTGCATTGGCAGGTGGATTCTTAACCACTGCACCACCAGGGAAGTCCCTCATCCATCCTTTCTTCCATCATCCATCTTCCCTACATCTCTTCTTTCTACTTTCCATCTATATGTTTTTCCATCCATCCATCCATCCATCCATCCATTTATCCATCTTTCCTTCCTTCCACTCATCCATCCATCCTTCCATCCTTCTGTCACCTATCTATCATATGTGAATCCCTCTGTGCCAGGCACTGGGGATACACATTAATTAAAATATTGTCCCTGCTCTCAATGATCTCAGTCCCATGAGAAAGACAGCAGATGCAAACAAATACTTATAGTACCTTGTTGTGCCAGCCTCAGGAGAGTAGTCACCTCTGAGGAGGAAGGGAAGGAAATAGAATTTGGAATGAGATCAAAAGGGGCCTCAAATGTATCTGTAACTTTTTGTTTCTTTTAAATAATATTTGATTCAAATATGGCAACATTTTAACTATTTGCTAATCTGAGTGGAGTATGCATGATTGTTTGTTGTATTATTCCCCGTTCTTTTCTGTAAGTTTGTAGTATTTTTTAACAGCTTTGTTTAGATATAATTCACGTACGATACAATTCACCCATTTAAAGTGTATGTCCGGGGACTACCCTGGTCGTCCAGTGGCTAAGAGTCTGCGCTCCCAATGCAGGGGGCCCGGATTTGATCCCTGGTCAGGGAACTAGATCCCACATGCTGCAACTAAGAGTTCACATGCAGCAACTAAAGATCCTGCATGCCACAGTGGAGATCCTGAGTGCCACAACTAAGACCCGACACAGCCAAATAAATAAATAAATTAAATAAAGTGTACGTCTGTATTATTTTATAATTAAAAAAACAAAAATGTCATGTGGGTACTGCAAACATTTGTCCTATATTTTTCAGAATAGTCCTGATTTTCCAAAAAATTATTCTTTTTGGTAAAGACGACTCATTTAATATATGACAAAATCTTAGTTTTGAATAGTTGGACATCAGGAATTCCCTGGCGGGCTAGTGGTTAGGACTCAGTGCTTTCATTGACATGGCTTGGGTTCACTTCCTGGTAGGGGAACTAAGATACCACAAGCCACTTGGTGCGGCCAAAAAAAAAAAAAGAACAGTTGGATATCTTTCCATATAAATAAAGTCTCAAAGGCTAAAACCTACAAACAAGGGACTTCCCTCGTGGCACATTGGTTAAGAATCCACGTGCCAATTCAGGGGACACAGGTTCGAGCCCTGGTCCAGGAAGATTCCACATGCCGCAGAGCAACTAAGCCTGTGCACCACAACTACTGAGCCTATGCTCTAGAGCTCTCGAGCCACAATTACTGAGTCCCCGTGCCACAACTACTGAAGCCCGCACTCTGCAACAAGAGAGGCCACCCTAATGAAAAGCCCGTGTGCCGCAACGAAGACCCAACACAGCCAAAAATAAATTAAATAAATAAATAAATCAAAAAAACAAACAAAAAAACCTACAAAGAAATTCACACCATGAGTTAGGTGCAGCCAGGCTAAAGAAATGCCCCAGGGTGCCAGGAAGGGAGGCCATAGAATCTCGTGGGTACTTAGAGGTGGGGGAGGTTGCTCACAAAATATTTCTTTTTTTTGGCTGCATCACGTGGCATGTGGGATCTTAGTTCCCCGACCAGGGATTGAAACTGTGCCCCCTGCAGAGGAATCCTAACCACTGGACTGCCAGGGAATTCTCTCACAAAAGATTTCTTGAAGGTCAAATAACTGACCTAGAAGCAGGAGTATGGTAAGTAGCCCGCTCAGGATTTGAATTCAGACCTCTGTGACTCCAAATCCCACAGACTACCCCACTTGGAAGGATGACTGACTAAGATTTGCTACATGACACAGTGGACCAAGCCTGGGACATGGCCTTAGACAGAGTTGATCTGAGTCTTGACTTGTCCACTTAATTTAGAGTCTTAATTGTCCCATTGATATAATGGGGTTAATAACACCAGCCCAGTAAAATTGCTGTGAAGAATAAAAATCATGAATATGAAACACCTTGGCAGATAAGTATCATCAATACTAATATTGATAAGGCATCACAAAGGGAGGAGAGAAGGCTGGCAATGAGCTCCAGGACCCTCAACCTCCTGAGCCTTCTCAGCTGTACAGAGAGACACACTCCCCTAGCTGAGTTCCGCATTTACCTCCTCCATGAAACCTCCCAGGATTGCTCCTCCTCACCCTAGCTGCTTCTTTCCCAGAGCTCAGGCCTCCCGACATGGGCTCTCCCCGATCCACATGGGTGTGATTTATCTCCCTAGCGAGGGTGAGGTGGTGACATACTGGGGGCCAGCTTTAGAACAAGGAGATGCCCCAACTCAAAGTCAAGGACCTATCCCCACCACACACATGCAAACATGCACAAGCTTCTAGATGAAGCTTAAATTCTCAGAATTTGACTCCTTTGTCTCCAGCCTTGATCTTTGGAGGACCGGGATCGGGGTTGGGGGTCAATACACTGGGAAGTCACTGAGGCCTTGAGACTTCTGAGAGCCCATTTTTAGGGGGAGCTGGGAGTGAACGTGAGACACCCTAAGCCCTGAGGGTAGGAGACTGGACAGTAAGGAGGGTGGGACCTCACCATGTTGCCCATGTCCCATCACCCCATATAACACAACACAGCCAGGCTACCCTCCCCATCATACACACCTGTCCAGCTTTTGCTCTGAGAGGTGAGTACCCTTCTTCCCAACACTGGACTCCAGGGGAGCAGGACTTGGGGGCCCCAGAGCAAGGTAGCTGGGAAGTAGAATACAATGGGGAAGGGGATGATGGGCTTCTGGTGAGACCCTCCCCAGGGGACCCAGGTACCTCTGTCCTGCCTGCCTCCATCCCTCCCACACCTAGGGACGCCCAGAGTAGGCTTGGGCAGACTAACGGGGCACAGAGAGGGATGCAGGGAGGGCGCTCACCTGTGGGCAGGGCTGGACACCCGAGGGCCAGGAGAAGCAACAGCCAAGTCCCAGGCATGGCCCACCTGAGAGGAGGCAGGACCCAGCTGCAGACCTGGGCTGTGGGCTGGGGGAGGAGGCGTCCACAGGACTGCCTCGCAGGCCACAGGCCCAGCTGCATCTCAGCTGCTCCACCACGGAGCCGTTTCCCCAGGTGAGGGGCCCCTCCCACCTTCACCCTGGCCCCCAAACCCAGCCTTCTCTCACTCTCTCACGGGTCCAGGGAACTCAGAGTGCCACTACCACACCAGGAGTCAGATGCCACACCCCCTCCCATCTGAAGAGCACTTCACAGTGTGCAAAGCCTTTCCCCAGTCACTGCCCCTGCCATCTACAGGATCCAGAGCACTTGACGGTAGGTCAGGGGCTTAACATACAGCACTTCATTCCATCCAGCCAACAACTGTGAGTTCCACTTCACAGGTGAGGCAACTGAGGCTCAGAGAGATTGAGTGACCTTCCCAAGGCCACACAGCTGGCAGGTGGCAGAGCCAGGGCTTGAACTGTTTTCTGATGGCTGGCCTTACTATAGCCAAAAAGCCCAATAAACTTACTTCCATGTAGTCACAACCCTTTTAAATAGAATTTATTTTTTAGCGCCATTTCAGGTTTATAGCAAAAGTGACCGGAAATTTCAGAGATTTCCCACATACTCCCTGCCCTGTCATATCAAACCTCTTCTTAAAAATAAACTTTTTAGGGAATTCCCTGGTGGTCCAGTGGTTAGGACTTGGCGCTTTCACTGCCATGGGCCTGGGTTTAGTCCCTGGTCGGGGAATTAAGTTCCTACAGGGCACGGCCCCCTCCCCGCAAAAAACTTTATAAATTCTATTTTCAGTAACTCCACTAAATTTTATCTGTAGCTGTTATTTTGACCCTGAAACTTTACATCTAAGTATATACCCTAAGGGAATAATAAGAGATTCAGTCATTATAAAACAAAGATTTATGCACAAAAATATTCTTTGAAGTATTATATTAAAAAACCAAGAGAAATTGGAAACATCCTAATTGTTCAACGCTAGGAGACGGTTCAATGATGTTTGGTGTATTTATATTAGTTTTTGGCTGTGTTGGTCTACCTTGTGGTACGCTGGCTTTCTTTTGTTGGCTTTCTTTTGTTGCGGTGAGTGGGGCCTACTCTTTGTTGCAGTGCGAATGCTTCTCATTGCAGTGGCTTCTCTTGTTGCAGAGCACTGGCTCTAGGTGCGTGGGCTTCAGTAGTTGTGGCACACAGGCTTAGTTGCTCCACGGCATGTGCAATCTTTTCGGACCAGGGCTCGAACCCGTGTCCCCTGCATTAGCAGGCGGATTCTTAACCCCTGTGCCACCAGGGAAGTCCCCATGCAGCAGCTTTTTAAAAAAATATTTATTTGGCTGCGTGGGCTCTTAGTTGCGGCATGCGGGATCTAGCTCCTTGACCAGGGATCAAACCTGGGCCCCCTGTATTGGGAGCGCAGTCTTAACCACTGGATCACCAGGGGAAGTCCCTATGCAGCAGCTTTTAAAGACATGTTTTCAAAAGAATGTTTAATGACTTGGGATATAGAAGAGAGTTTGGTTCAGAGTGTGGGCTGTGAAGCCAGAATACCTGGCTTTCAATCCTGACTATATCATTCAGGAGTTGTGTGACTTTCACCAAATTACTTACTTCCCTAATCCTCCATTTCCTCATCTGTACAATGGGAATGATAATACCTCAAAGGGGTTCTGTGATATTTAACAAGATTATCCATGAAGCAGCTCTAGCATTATTCTCTATACATAGTAAGAAGTCAATAAATGTTCTCCCTTTCTTTATATATGTGTATACATAATTACATACACAGAAAGTCTGAACAAACAGGATGCAAATTTTTTTTTTTTTTTTTTTTTTGCCGTATGTGGGCCTCTCACTGTTGTGGCCTCTCCCTTTGCGGAACACAGGCTCCAGATGCGCAGGCTCAGCGGCCATGGCTCTCAGGCCCAGCCTCTCCAAGGCATGTGGTATCTTCCCGGACGGGGGCACGAACCCGTGTCCCCTGCATTGGCAGGCAGACTCTCAACCACTGCGCCACCAGGGAAGCCCCAGGATGCAAATTTAAATGGACAATATATACCCAATTTTGTATAAGAAATATATAACTGTTCCTAGAAGGATGCAGACCAAATGTTAACAATGGTTATCTCTGCATGTTAGGCTTTTGGATAGTTTTTATTTTCATCTTTATAATTGTTCATTTATTAAATTTTCTATGATGAATCTATTATTTTTAAAATCAGGAAAATAAACATTATTAAAACATAAAACTACAGATGTACTATAGTTTACTTAGCTATTCCTTTACTTTCAGACATTTGGGTTCTCCAGTTTGGGGCAATAAATATCTTTGGTCATAAAGTATTTTCCAAATTCATACTTATTTCCTTAAAATTGGCTTAAAGGCCTCTGTGATTTCGAGGGGGGATTTGTTTAACTTAAAAAATTTTAAATTGTAGTAAAGCACATATAACAAAATTTACCATCTTAACCATTTCAAGTTCAGTGGCATTAAGTACATTCACATTCTTGTGCAACCACCACCTTCATCCATCTCCAGAATTCTTGCAAAACTAAACACTCCATTCCTCCTCCCTTCAGCCCCAGGCGACCACAATTCTACTTTCTCTTTCTGTAATTTTGACTACATCATTAAAGTGGAATCATACAGTATTTGTCTTTTGAGCTTGGCTTATTTCATTTAGCACTATATCCTCAAAGTTCATCATCCATGTTGTAACTTGTGAGAACCTTCTTCCTTTTTAAAGCCTGAATAGGGACCTCCCTGATGGCGCAGTGGTTAAGAATCCCCCTGCCAATGCACGGCACATGGGTTTGAGCTCTGGTCCAGGAAGATCTCACATGCTGCGGAGCAATTAAGCCCATGCACCACAACTACTGCGCCCTGTCACCTAGAGCCGGTGCTCCACAACAAGAAAAGCCACCACAATGAGAAGCCTGCGGACCACAGCGAAGACCCAACGCAGCCAAAAATAAAATAAAATAAAAATACATTAAAAAAAAAAAAAGGCTGGGGCTTGCCTGGTGGCGCAGTGGTTAAGAATCCGCCTGCCAATGCAGGGGACACGGGTTTGAGCCCTGGTCCGAGAAGATCGCACGTGCCGTGGAGCAACTAAGGCCGTGCACCACAACTACTGAGCCTGTGCTCTAGAGCCCATGCTCCACAACAAGAGAAGCCACCGCAATGAGAAGCCCGCACACCGCAACGAAGAGTAGCCCCAGCTCACGGCAACTAAAGTCCATGCGCATCAACGAAGACCCAATGCAGCCAAAAATAAATAAATAAAATAAATTAAAAAAATTTTTAAAAGGCTGAATAATATTCCACTGTATGTACATTCTACATTTTGCTTCTTATCCATTCATCTCTCAGTGGACATCCCTCAACGTTTGTTTCCCTATTTTAACTGTTGTGAACATGGGCATAAAAATCTCTCTTCAAGATCCTACTTTCAGGGCTTCCCTGGTGGTGCAGTGGTTAAGGGTCCGCCTGCCGATGCAGGGGACAGGGGTTTGTGCCCCGGTCCGGGAAGATCCTACATGCCACGGAGCGGCTGGGCCCGTGAGCCATGGCCGCTGAGCCTGCGCGTCCGGAGCCTGTGCTCCACGGGAGAGGCCACAACAGTGAGAGGCCCGCGTACCGCAAAAAAGATCCTACTTTCAGGGAATTCCCTGGCAGTGCAGTGGTTAGGACTCCGTGCTTTCACTTACTGGATCAGGTTCAATCCCTGGTCAGGAAACTACGATCCCAGCAAGCCACGTGGCATGGCCAAAAACAAACAAATAAACAAAAAGATCGTACTTTCAGTTCTTTTGTGTATATACCCAAAAGTGGAATTGCTGGATCATATGGTAATTTAATTTTAATTTTGATAGTGGCCCTCATAATTGATAGTGTGAAGTGTTATCTCATGGTGGTTTCAATTTGCATTTCCCTAATGATTAGTGATGTTGAGCATCAGAGGCCTCTGTGTTTTAGGTCTCCCTGATACACCTGTTATACTAATTTATGTTAGTATAAAACCACCACAATGTATGAAAGGTCCACTTCATCCCTATCAGCATTTAACATTTCTTTAAAAAATAAAATAAAATTAAAAATTAAAAATCTTAATTTCTTCAGTTAAAATGGTATCATTTCTCTGATAACATTATTTTCCCATCTTACTTGTTTCCTTCACTGTATTGTCTGTTGTCTGCTTGTAGTCTTAGTGTCTTACTCGTTTTTTTTTTTTTTCATTTATTTATTTACTTATTTTTGGCTGTGTTGGGTCTTCGTTGCTGCGCACTGGCTTTCTCTACTTGCAGCAAGGCGGGGAGGAGGGGGCTACTCTTCCTTGTGGTGCGCGGGCTTCTCATTGCGACGGCTTCTCTTGTGGAGCACGGCCTCTAGGTGCACAGGCTTCAGCAGTTGTGACACGCGGGCTCAGTAGTTGTGGCTCGTGGGCTCTAGAGCACAGGCTCAGTAGTTGTGGCGCATGGGCTTAGTTGCTCCGCAGCATGTAAGATCTTCCTGGACCAGGGCTCGAACCCGTCCCCTGCTTTGGCAGGCGGATTCTTAACCACTGCGCCACCAGGGAAGCTCCTCACTGACTACTTCTAATTTCACTTTTTTTTTTAAGCCTACAGTTTTTTTGTTTTTGTTTTGTTTTGTATGAACCAACATGTCCATCTTCCCTATTGGGATTTATCTCATTCCTTCAAGCCTAGAAAGTCCTCTCTCCTCCAAAGGATGGGTACATTCCTATTTCTATTGTCTTTTTGCGCACTTGTAGTTTAAATCCCCCGCCCCCAATTTAAATCCATCAGGAACTGAATTAATTTTGGTGTATTATAGAAGATGTGCATCTAAATTTCTTTTTTTTCCCCAAAGAGCTAATCAGTTATCCCAGGATTATTCATAAATAATCCTTTCTGTCCCCACTATTCGCAAAACATTCTCTATTACGTGTTAATGTCTTTTACATTGGCGGATTTACTTCTTCCTGGCTCCCGGATTTCTTTATTTTGGCGCCAGCCTCACTCCGTTTCCTTCTGGATGGTTATTTTAATAATCATGTCAATAGCACTCTCCGGTGTCCTAAGGGACTCCCTGCAGCCAGGGCTGTGCTCCCGCCCCTTTTC